CAACGAGCGAAACGCCTTTCCTCTTGCTATCTGAGACTGTTTGGACTTCAGAACCACAATTCTGATCAGCCTGGCTCACAGCCAGTCCAGCTGATCCACGCAGCTCACCCGCAACTCTTCTTCATCTTCCTTTGGACCTTAATAGAGTTAACGGCTTAACAAGGACTGTTTAATTACTGTTAAAGTTACTGTTAAGACAGTGCTAAGGTGGTGTTTAATGTTATAGACACCGTCTTTGCATGCAACTAACTCCCTTTTAACGGCACCGTTAATCTAGACCACACGCACACACATATTCGGCCTAAACCTTAGCATACACACAAAGGACACGCGCCTTTTCTGGCGCGCAACCCCCAATGCGCGCACACACACACACACACACACACACACACACGGACACACACCTCTTCCTGTAGCTTAGTTCCTTTAAGTGAGATTGTTTGCATTTATTATTCCTTTAATAAATGTTTGTGTTTATACATGCTGGCCTATTTAATTTTGTATAACAGTGGATACCAACCTCTTCTATGCAGAACTCCAAAGCTCCCACTTTAGCTACTAATAATGATTTTGGTTGTAGTTATTAATTTAATTATTAATCTGACTTCTGAATTAATAGTGTAGTGTATTTTTATGAGACTGATCAATCAATTATTGGCTATCGTTTCCCTTATTTAAGGGTGGTGCCCCGAGGATCTTTAATATTAATTAAAGTCATCTTCTATTATCTTTTGATAATTATAAATTTTGACCATTAATTGATTGAACTAATACAGTTAAACCACTGTAACACCCTAGGACGTGGAGCCCGACATAGCTGTGTTTGTGTCCAATGCAGTGGTTCCCAACCTGGGGGTCAGAACCCCCACTAGGAGTCACCAAAGCTTTGTGGGGGGTTGCTATGCCTTCTTCATTGTAAGGCATGCTAGAAAACTTACTAATACACACACAGCAGGCATATATCTCAGCATTTGGTTTACTTCTGTGAAGAAAAGTAATTGGTAAGTAAAGGAAATTGACAAATAGAACAATGCCCAAGCGTCAGGGACAAGAAAACAATGAATTTGTCAAGCCTAGTAAGTAGGGAAGTCCCGAGTCATTTAATATTGAGTATCTGCTAATACCAAATCCTGATCAGATACTTTATTTATTTATTTTTGAGATTACATAGTCCCCCAGTGCACACTTACACATACAAGTATATTAAAATCAATCCAATGTATATGCTTGACAATTAAATACCTCTGCATTGGATCAAGAAACTAAATTTATTATATATTTAAGTACTTTACCTTATAAAATAACAAACCCTCAGTAATCTCTTTTGGTCTGGAGGGAGTTTCAGTGTTTGGTGCTTAGGTGCAGCTTTTATCTGAGTTATCTGAATAAACTGTACTTTGCAGACTGTTTATTTCCGTCGTCTCTACATCATTAATTACTCTTATTGGCTTTTTGTTGGAGGGACTTCTGTTGCACATGCAGTGGCGTGTTGAGTGTGGTTGTGCCGGATCTCTATCATCTTTCCTCCTCCGAGCAGAGGCGGCCTTTGCTCTCTCTCTCTCTCTCTCACACACACACACACAGACACACACACACACACACACACACACACACACACACACACACACAAAAAAACACAAGCAAGTGTTGACGATGGTTGCACCGTGCATGAAAGATTCCTGAGTAATAACAGCTGTGTAACAGCTGAGGTATCAATACAACTCAATATAGCCGATGCCAATCGTTGAGATCGGATCGGGACACCCCTACTAGTAAGTATGCATGAATGATAAAAACGTAATATAACATAATACAGACAGAGAATTGCATAAAAAGTTCCCTAAATAAAAATCTGCTAGATATTCATCAAAATCACTTGTATTACACACATGTCTTGCAGTCGCTGAGTTCACTATTTGGGTTAATTGTTAATTGTAATAATGTGTTTTGAATATAACATGAAATATTCATAAAATGTCACTTCGTCAGGGGTCCGTTTATTAAATGATAGAAAAGGGGTCCTTTAAGGAGAAAGGTTGGGAACCACTGGTCTAATGCATCCTGACAGATATCTTTCTCAGGGCTTCATCAGCTGAATTCAGCAACTCCAGTCATCTGCTGTGTGGTTTTTTAATGTATGTTTAATGTCACTACATGCATGTTCTGTACGGCTGCTTGTGCCCTTATGCAAGCGTAGGGTTGAACTGAAAATCCCCCTCACCTTCATTCTGAAAACTTCTTCACTGTTACTATGCTAAAAAGAAAAGTATGTCCCAATTTAAACCTCCTTTTAAATCAATTGCAGCCCTTCAGGCGCAAACACAGTGATAAGAGGGTCAGCCAATCAGCGATGTCTGACCAAAGAGCTTTTTAAAATTACAGTGGTGACCTGAGACTGACTGATAACACAAGAAGAAAGACTATCATTGTCAAGCAGGATGAACCTCAGATTCCCTGAGTGATTGTTAAGTGATTGAAGTTGGGGGGGCTTTGTGTTTTTTTTCTCATTAGTCTAGATGCCTAGAATACCCGACATAATATAACAACCATTTATGATGACATCCTTTATATATATATATATATATATATATATATATATATATATATATATATATATTCTATACAACATTATAACAAAAGGACTCAAATATCACAAAGTTCTCACACACAGCAGGAACATGCATGAGAGATAGTGACTTAACACAGAAACAGTAAGACTGTCAGCTAAATGAACAGAAACCACCAGACCAGGTTATACTAGTTCATTAAAATGCAGTGCAATGAGAATAGTCCTTATCCGCAAGGGTGACATAATGCTTCTGTCAGCAGTGAGCCTCTAATATTTACAATCAGATGCCCAAGAGATAATCGTTGCGTATTCTTCAAATGTTCTTCATTCTGTATCATATCAGATTGTCTCTTCCGAGCAGCCACTCACGGGCTGCTGGTATTGAATGTTTGATGTGTACGCTCAAGTATAAGTTGCCATAACGCACTGTCGCGATGAGGGTGGCCTCTCTGAGTGAATCCTTCATGGACTAAAAATCCGATTCACCTCAAAGCCAGCTCCAAAACTGTCCAAGCAGCGATTTGTTCTTTTGCCGCAGCTTCTAGGTGAAAACATAACTTTAAGTGCTCTTAAATTTTTCCCCCAGCATGGCCCCAGTTTAAAAAGCCTCCTATCTCAAATGTGTTGTCGGTTCTGTCCTCTCTTGACCTCTTATCAAAAGCAACATATGAAGCACAAGACAAAATGAAGCCATTTCTATTGCTGAAAAACCTGCTTTGAATGATCTTGAAAAACTATTCGTTGCCAAAAACACCCGGCTGGAAAATCAAACTCCTTTGGCTGGAGAGGCTCAGTGAGTGGACCATCCCAGGTGTCAGCAGTTGTGGGTTTAGTAGCCGTGGGCACCAAGTTGGGCTTGTTAGCTGGACTGCGGTTACCTCTCACATGTCAGGGCTGGCATGCTCAGGGTACAGGGAACAGCGTCACAATGACCACATTCTGATGCGGTCTTATAGATGGCTTTGGCTGGCCAGATTAATATTGTCTCTCTCGCTGGTGCTTGGGTTGAAAGGTTGAGCAGGATGATCATGAAAAACGACTGAGTCCGTGAAATTCGATGGGACCCGGACTCTGAAAAGATCCAAAATCCTTTTCTGTGACATTATTCAGTAAAAAACAGAACAACTGCTGTGGAGCAAGCCCGAGTTTGCAAGAACTGGCTATGTACACCACAGAGGGACATACAGAGTGTGTTTTGTAATGAATCTTTATCAACCAAATTACAAGACATAAAAGCTATATTTGCCACAAACACTCCAGGGCAGACACTTTATCCAAAATACTGAAATTAAGGTCCAAGTCCAAGGCCACGTGGGATCTACAGTAATCACATTGCTCTCTAATCCTAATTACATGTGGCAGTGTGTCTGTGAGTGAATAGCTGCTTGTGTGTATGTGTGTGTGTGTGTGTGTGTGTGTGTGTGTAGGGTGTACGTATAGGAGACAGGAGAAATTGAAAGTGAGAGGTTCCAGAAAAAATGATAAAGAGATAAAGATAAATGGATTAAAGACATCACATCAGCTCAACTCTGTTTCTTTAGACTGATCTAGGTGTAGAAAATGTCATGCCTCTGTATAGCCAACATAAAAGAAACATCAAACAAGCGTGTTTAATTTGATCTACTGACAGTGGGTGTGATACGGTTGTTTTTGATGAGACTCTATAGCTTTTACTCATTTCAATCCGTTCCTGAATCAGATCAGAAATGACTTGACTCTGTTCCTCAAATCAGCTGTCAAAAAAGGGAATTCAATAAAGAGAATAACTAATATTAAATTAGCATTCCCCCGAAAACTGTAAGTACTTTGTGTAAAACTGTGAGTTTCTGACCTTTGCTTGATCATTCGGTTTCGTGATCACTTCTGACAAACCTTCTAACACAACATGAAACGCTGTCTTCCTTTGAGCTCAACTACTTATTCTGTATCTTTGTTTTCTTGTGTTTTCCTGTGCACATGTAAAGGTGATTTCTAGCCTCCGCCTTTCACATATTTTACTGATGAAAGTGGGTTAAGGAAGAGTGAATGTTTCGCTAATCAGTCATAGGGACACAATATTTACACTCTGCTGTAGATTACAATGCTAATGCGGGATCACTTTCACCTGAATAGGCCTGATTATGGAATCAGGGGTCAGTGAGTCTGAAGAAAAAAAGAGGACCAAAACAGAAAGATAAAGAATCACATTAAAATAGGTTCTGGCTGCAAACAACCATGAAACATCCTCAAAAAAATTAATAAAAAAACAACAACAACTGCACAACAACCAGATATGACATCATCGGATTTTGGGGCAAATGTTTTATAACCTGAGAGTTTTAACACAAACTCATCATATTTGCATTAAATAAAAAAATAAAAAAAAACCCCATGATGACCAAAGGCTGGACTTGAAGGTGTTTGTTTGTTCCACAGTGGACAGTAAATCATCAACGTGTGATCTGACATTTATTAAAAACATTTGTTCAATTACATGGTTTCAACATTACATCGTTTGGCAATCGATCAACGAGGAGGGCATCCCGCTAATATGGGCCCGCTGCCGGTGTCACAAACATCAGTGTCGGCTTTCTGGCTTCGCCTTTTAAAAACCGAACTTCACAGAAACACCAGAGTGAGATACTAGCCTGAACGCACGCACGCACGCACACACACGCACACACACACACACACACACACACACACACACGCACCAGTATTGTAGAAAAATAGAGTGATCACTAATTGAATCCAGTTTCAACTGATTCAATACTTTTTCCATACAAAAGAAATAAAGACAATCGCTATCAGGAATCAATTAAGGTCAAGACGAGCACAATATAACAGCCTACAGCCTAAAGTTAGGCTTGAACATGACTTTATTTGTCAAAGAGTCCTGAATATCTTTACGCAAGAAAAAAAACAACAACATAATGTGCCATGTGTGAACATTTGATAGCAGCATCTGAATATTTTGCACTGTGAGTTGGACATTGAAGCAGAATGGGCAGAGCATCAGGCAGTTCAGCATCTTTCAACTACACATGGAGCACCGCTCTTTGGGAATTCACCACATCGTTCCTGTATTGCTCCAGCCAGTTTCTAAGCTCGGAAATCCGGTATCCCTCTGGACCTCTGCCCCCCTGGTACACAACCCTCTCATCCCTCACGATGTAAAGTCTCTCAAAGTAAGCTCCGTACGCGGCGTTGGATGAGTTGTCCATATTATCCACCACCACGTTGCTCCCCGGCACCTCGGCGAGCATCAGCTGAGCGGCTCTCAGTCTGTCCTCCAAGCAGCGGTGCTTGGGGATCTGATACGGAGCGTCCGAGCTCACCCAGCCGTCCGACGGATGCGCCTCCTCGATATATACAACTAAAAAGTCCGCAATGTCTGCGTACTGGCTCACGACGCGCTGAAACGCCGCCAGGCGCGTCATGAATGGCGGTCAGGAGCAGCTGCCAAAGTTAAGGATGAGCGGTCTCTTCCCTTTCATACAATCCAGAATCCGGACCTGCTTCCGCTCTTGGACCAGCATCACCTCGGTGTTGGGCGCAGCGCACCCGAGGTGCGCGGATTTGAGAAAGTCCAATTTCTGGCCGTACCACACGGCCCTGAGGGACTCCAAGGTGAACATCTTATTAGAGTCAGAGACGCACACCGGCGGGTCGTCCGTGCCGTCCTGCCTCTCTCCCATTTTCAGAAGCACTTTTTTCCTAATGCACAAGAAATCCAGGAGCCACAACATGACGGCGGCCAGGAGGAACCGGGGCAGCAGCATCAGGCACAGGGCTGCATGTTTCAGCGCCCTCGCCATTTGGACACCGCCAGAGTCGTGCATCATCTCTTCCCCTGCCGATAGGATGCGACTGGGCCGGCGAAAGAGACAACTAGTATTTAGTCACCTTTACCCATTGGAGAAAACTATCTGACGCACGCAGGCACTCTTTTTATAGGTACAGCAGCATTTGAAAAATGGGAAAAAAAGAAAAAAAAAAAGAAAAAAAGAAAAAAAAACACGCCTCCGGTACCCGCGCCGCCCACTCACATGGTGGGGATTACCTCCCGTCCACTTCCAGCTCCTAAGATTCAGAGAAAGCGAGAAAGAAAGAGGGAGAGAGAGAGAGAGGGGGGGGGGGGGGGGGGGGGGGGGGAGAGGTTCCCGAGACAGACAAAAATACTGTCTTCACTCCACACGTGTAGATAATAGGCTACATGACATTTAATGGATGTTTTTTTTATTCCATTATGAGACACTTGGGTTGGTTTTAATTGGCTGTAGCTGAACGCACGGTTGGTCCTGAAAGTCTGCTAAAGAAAAACATTTGACTTGACTCCACTCAGCCTGTGGACTCAGATCCCCCTGTAGCCACAAGACGGCGCTGGATTCACACAGACTGGGAAGGCTGGATGAGTCATTCGCTGATCTGCTAGGGCCCCCTGAACACCTTGTGAGGAGCAGAGGCAGTATAAACCTGCCACCACCAGTTTAAAAACTGAAATATATTGAATTTGTTAGAATTAAATTTTTCTTAGAACAATTTTCGTAAAAGAAATGAACAGGTTTCCCGTCTATTTATTGACTACTTAGCACATCTCAACACATTTAACAAAAAAATTGCATTATACTTTACCCAAAATGTATAATTTATGGGAAGACTACTGTATTAGATTATATTTTATTGTTAAATCTATGTGACACAAATTAGGGTTTAGCATTTTTAGTAACTGTTTCACAGCTAAATTGACAGTAAGAGTCTATCTGAAGATGTAAACTCTGTGGTAAGTGAAACATCAGTATTGTCTCTGTATTTAGCTTTAGACCCTTTGTTGCTACCTTTTTTTTTAGTGTCTTGTCTGCTGAATTTACCTAACAAAGTTTTCCAGCCTCGGTGGAATATATGTGGCAAATAAAGGGCTAAATAAAATATTGAATTATTGCGTTCTTATTTTCAACCTCATCAACAGTTCACATCTCACTCCGAGCAGAGTGTGATCTGAAACGTCACTCTTGTCACCTCAACCCCAACGGATCAAAATCCCTCTACCAACACCTTGTCATTACCATGAGGTTGCCAGGCAACCAGAGGAGACTCAAGGAATTTAGTCTGGCACATGACCCCCTATATAACCACAATATCTGGTTCTATGCACTCTTTTGTTATCTTTGGACAGGCTAGTTTCCAGTCTTCCATGCTAAGCTAAGCTAAGCTAACTGGCTGACAGTCAATGTCAATCTTCTAATCTAACTCCTTACAAGAAAGTGAATAAATGTATTTCCATGAATGTCAAACTATAACTTTAACATAAAAAAAAGTTATATATTCATTTATCCTTTCACAATCATACAGCTGAGACTGAGAGTTGGAAATAAACAGTTGGGCTTCAGAGGATAATTCAGATTTATTTCAACAATTTTGGCCATCATTTCTATTGATTATGATGACACTGAACTAAAAGTCATTGCTGGGATCTGGAAACCACAGCAAAGTCAGGAAACACCACAGACACGGTAAGACATCAGACGGCCAACAGTTCAGTCATGTTTTCTGCCTGGTCAAACTGAAACTGAATGCATCCATTATTGCACAAGGATTCTCAAGGATTCTGGATTCTCAGAAAACCACATCAATGCGGAATCAGGAAGTCAGTCTGTAAACTGTGATGGATTTTTACAACAGACATCTTGGGAAATAATTTTACAATGTAACTTTCCTCTTCCAAATAACCCCGGGGGTTTATTTAAAACCTGTCTGATCTCCAAAATGAACTTTGTACAGTGTAACTGATACGGAACCAGTGGCCACCACATAAGCTTCAAGTCGTGATAATCATCCTTTAATGTACATATTTCTGTGTGAGCTACACCTGAGACCACAGCACAGACGTCCGGGCTGACAGCAGGCACCTGGAACTGCTTAGCAGCTATGGCACTGGAGGCCTCTGATGGCGTTCGGAGAAATCTAAAGACAACAGCAGACGACCTTGTGGGAAATGGCCGTAACAAACCAGATGTGCAGCAGCTACGCGTCTGACGTCACGGCTTCTTTTACACGAACTTCTGCGAGGGTGAAGTTGGTTTGTTTTGTAAACAAAGTAGTGGAAAGAGATGCCAGATGCCATCCACCTTGAAAAGCCATTAACCGGCAACATTTACTCAAGTGTTGTTCCACACAAAAGAAGCTTTTTTTTTTTTAACAATCGAGTACTTTGGATTTAACAAAAAACAATGTACAATATGCACCATACTGTATACCCTACATCGTAGATATATAATGTCTCAGCATGATTATGTTTAAAATAAGAAACAAAAGACTAATTTAGGAGCTTCACAGTAGATTGTAGCCTACTTTTCATCAAAACAATGTGACTACCAAGCCATTGGATTTACCTCTAAACCCCTGGAAAAAAAAAGAATAATGTAATTCAATACACTGCTGCCATTCAGAAAAGGGGCACTCTCCAGAATGAAATACATTAGATTTTCTTCATTATGTCATGAATTAGTTACTGCCAAAGTGGTTTAACTGTTTTCCTGTGACAGGCTAGAACAAAAAACAGCTCTGATGTCTGAAAATAAGAACTTTGTGCCTGAGCTAGCAAAAAAATTAGTTTTCTCTAATGTCTGACATGCATTGTGCAATTCAAAAAGGCATTCAACAATTAGACATGCGGGAAAATTCAGAAAAAAAGGACAAACACGCATTTCAATAGAAAATGACAGGAACATTTTTCATTGAAATGGATGTGACTCAGATGCTGATGTGCAAACGGACCACCCTTAGGCACCAGAGGGAAAAAAAAAAAAAAAATCAGCTAACTGATGACACAGTGTTTTGTCCCATGAAGCCTATCATTCACACAATAACATGCCAACTCCACTCATTTCATCCCAGTCTTAACAAGACCTGGATTTACCCGATGATGCAATTTCTGTGTACAGAAGCTTTGCATTATGACAGCAGGAAGAAAGAGGCTTGATTACTTTAAACTCTTGTTACAGAATGAAGCTAATGATGTAACGGCTGTTCTGAATGTCAGTCTTGAGTTGGGCTGTGAACAATGTAAAAATGTGTGTCTATGAGATGATGCATGGTGTGCATGTGGAGTTTAAACACGAAGTAACAAGATATTGAAAGGGAAACTAAGCCTACAGATTAGTCTATTATCAGATGCAATATCTTACTACTGATGTAATTTGTCTTGAAGGTCATTGAATTGCTGCCAAAAAAGGTGTTTGCCATAAAAGTAAGAAATGTCAACCATCAAGTACAAAGAGCGACTGATCCTAGTCTGTAATAGAGAAACCATCACACAGACACTTAGCGCTCTGTAATCAGGAGTGCCTGTGAATTTGGTTTCTCCACACCAGTCAGTGGAACTGCTGCTGTGATCTGGATTAGACCACTGGCGTCTTTCAGTTGTTTACACCCAGGCTAAAGGAAGAAAAGAGCATGTGTGCTGGCTTGCGTACAACTCCCGGCCAGTGTTGGTTTCTTGTGCTGAATGTGATTTTCCTAGAATCATTAGGACTTCTAAAATCAGCTCGAGCTCAACCTCCCGTGAACCAAACGGTCAGAGAGGTCATCACAGAAATACTCCTAAGCTCATTAACTCTAGCAAAGATTGTCAACAAACAAACACTCAGACGGGTCCCTCAAATCCACAATACACCCACGCCCACACACATATTGACCAATGAGTGCCTTCTAAGCACATTATTGGATGAATAGGTCACTGAATTACCTTTGCTTACACTACCTAGATAACCTTATGTGCTTCACGTTCCACACACACACACACGCGTTCACCTTTTCAGGAACCTTCATTCAATCAGTTTTATTAGTTTATCAGGGATGTTTTTGCCAGTTTTTGTTGGTAAGTCTTGTAAAATATCCAAATTTGGGTCTAATTTATACAGCATGTGTGTGTACACATACCATATTCATTCCACATAACAAATACAACAATTAAACCATATAAGAAAAAAAACAAAGATAAAAAATGGTATTATTTTTTCATTAGGGCTTTTCTGATCATTGTTACCACATTATGTCCTAAAAAGTATCAGAAGTGGGGGCGCCCGGTTAGCTCAGTTGGTAGAGCTGGCGACCCATATACGGAGTTGCTGCAGCGGCCCGAGCTCGGGTCCGACCTGCGGCCCCTCGCCGCGCGCCATCCCCCCCCGCCAATCCCCAGCCGTCCTATCCAATAAAGCCATGAAAAGGCCAAAAAAATTACTTAAAAAAAAAAAAAAAAAAAGAAGTATCAGAAGTCTGTTTTACTTGAAAAACACCCATAAAAACCCTTTTCATTGTGCAAATACCTCTTTCTCTTCTAAACCTCCTAGTCTGCCACCACAATCCCACAGCTACTGCTACTTTTCACATTCTCAACCACCGGCTTGACAAGTATGGCTTAATGAAACACTGAGCCTTGATTCTGTTTTTTTTTTTTTGTTTGTTTTTTTCTGAAATAAACTGCTGGAACCCTACTTTCATTAGACACAGCCTGGATCTTGGCATGGGAGTGCAGGGCATACAAGGACAGCCCAGAATTGGAAAAACAGCCCGGACAGAGCCTGCAGCAAAGCACTAAGAGTGGCAGGGATCCAGCATAAATCACTATGAGTACACTGGCCACTGGAGAGTCATTGAATACACATGTCTCAGGTAGGACACACACACACACACACACACACACACACACACACACACACACACACACACATTTTTGCAACACTGGTTTTAGGGCTGTCAGGTGATTGTTATGACATGTGTCACCTAACATGTTGTATACACTGCAAGGTTAGGTAAGGTTGCAATAAAAACCTTTTGACTATTCATAGTCAAAATACAGCCCTGTCCCTTATGTTTGTCAAGCATTTGAGTAGGTTTGTAGTTACTAAGCAACCGCCATGTAGTCCCTCTCAGGCTTATCCGTCTAGGCCGCCGTGGCTGCATGGAGCCTTCGATGCACACTGATACATCACCTTGGATCACCAGCGTCCTTTGTCCACAAGAGCAGTGCTGATACACCAAACTGCCCGTCTTTAGAGAGGGTGGTTTTTTTCTTTATTGCGCCACACAGTCTGGTCTTTTAGCCCAGAAAAAT